CTTTGTGTCTGGGGCACGGGAATAAGCACTGAAGGAGGAGGGGGAGAGGGAAAAGGGGGGGCTTTCAAAAATACTAAGACAGATGCGTCCTTTAGGATTGCTCAGAGAGGTTAACAAACACAAATACAGGTATCTCTGTGGCTCTACCTGAGTCATCAGTCTGTCAGCTCCCGTGTTCTCTTCATCCTTAAAAATAATGTCAGGGTTGTAATTTGGGGTTAGTTCTTTAAATCTCTCGGAGTTTCTTGTGATCTTCCCTTCATATCTTCCACTGGCCCCTAGGGTCTTCTCTGCCACATTGGGAATAAACTGCTTATAGGCTAAAGGGGTCAGCTTTTTGGGGTGTCTCCTTTTTCCAATGCCCCTGCCTGGTCCACAAGTCAGCCCAGAGGAGACTAAAAGAGCGCAGATGAAGCCCACCAAGAGAATTCTTGTCAACAGCAGCATTTCGTCCATTGAATCCAATTACTTCAAAGCTCTCTGTGCCTATCCCTGGCTGTCTCTAGAGCTCTCTCTCCTCCTATGTCCTTGTCTGCTTTCTGAATCGTATACTATCCACCGATCCCTAGCAAGACAGGTGCTGGAATGGCAGGCTTTAGGTCGCTGATAACGGAACACATCGGAGTTTGGTCGGGAGACAGCAATCGAGAGACAAAAAAGGGTCTGATTTTAATGGTAGCAAAGCAAGACGCTTGTGAGAGGAGTCTGCCTTTAGTTCTATATTATAGCTGCCAGGGCCGAGAGCTGATTGGCCAAGGCGAGACAAGCTTGTCTTCTGATGTTTTAACCCTCAAAAAGGCAACAAATTCTTGAAAGATTTTTTTTTTTTCCTTTTACCTGAAGGGCTTGGAGCTGAGAGGGGTGGAGATCGCGCTTTCTTGGGATAACATCAATTACACGCTGGGTTTTTTTTTTCTTTCTTTTTTTTTTTTTTTTTTTAAAAACATTTGTCAGCAAGAGGAACAGATGCCTCTGTGAAAGAGGGGGGAAAAAAAGATTAGCAGGCTGGCTCAGTGCAAGACAAGTTTCTAAGGGCAGTTGCGGTTAAATAAAATGTCGAATTATCGGGGAGCCGTGCAAATAGAAAAGTATTGGGGAAATATTAATGCCCGGGGGGGGAATAATGCCATTTGAGAGCACACCCACCTAACTGGCTTTGTAACAGGTTTCTTCCTCCTGAAAAGGGAGGTTGATCTCCCTCCTAAAGACACGCATTTTTAAACACACTTGCCTTTTAGCTGATAAATGATTACTTTAAAGGCAGAAACAAGTAAGTCTGACGCGAGGCGGCAGTTATCTGAAATCAGCGTGTGACTGCTGTGGCACACAACTGCAATGTGAAGAGATCTAAATGACACTTTTTCTTCCCTCCTTTTAAATATAACCAGGAGTATCACCCAGTTTTAAATAATGTTGTATCTTCAGAAGTGCATGAAAAGTCAACTGATTAAAAATAGATGGTCTCCTGAGCACGCTGGGGCTATATTCTTTGTCTCTTTGGTCAAAGTCGAAGAGAAGCGTTTTAGAGTCTTACACCTCCTTGCGGGGTGTCATTAAGTTTTTAAGAAAAGCATAGTGTTGAAAGCATCCGCAAACACAATTAACAGAGATCGATCCAAGCAAAGTGAATGGAAAGGGGATAAGTTTAATGTTAAATTAATTGTTATCTCATGCAGCGTGGCAAGTGATGTCTTTATCCCGATCTCCAAAAGCTACTAATCAGACAAAGGTGATGAGAGACGAGCAAAATTGCAGAGATGGGGCTGATAGAGCAGGTTAGACAGAAAAGCAGGGTCCCATATGAACAAACATTTCTCTGCCTGTAAAGAGCTCATTTACTTTTGCTCCAGAGAAAATACATTTTGTCCTAGGATCTAGAAACTTTCAGGAGTTTTTAAGGAGTTTTTAAAAATGTCAGGACAACATGCTGAAGCAATTCAAAGTCCACTCTCTCAGAAAAACAAAACCCCCAACTTTATTTAGGCGTTTTTTAAGGGGAAAAAAAAAAAAAAAAAAAAAAAAAAAAAAAAAAAAAAAAAAAAAAAAAAAAAAAAAAAAAAAAGCAGCTCTTTGGGGCGAGCAATTATATGGGAGTTTTCCGGTCTGTGACATCGAGCTGAGTCGTAATCAACTTAAACCATGTGAAAATTGACTTTAAAATTAGTTTTTAAGTGGTAAAAGAGTTGTATATCCGTAAACTGTAACAATCAGGACAGCACGGACTTTTCAAGGGACAAAGTGGTCTTTCAAGGCAAACTTTAGAAAATAGCCGAAAGAAGTGATCCGAAGTGCTCACATTGACTCAAACTGGTGCTCTTCCCTCTTTTTCAGCCTATACTTTTCTTCTGCTAATTATGTTTCTTTTTATATTTTCAGTGAATCACTGATTTGTCTTTCCGAGCTTTAAATTAAGGAGTTTTGGCTTGGGAATGGGTAAAAAGTTAGAAAGTCAGCAGCTTGGCTTCTAGGTTTTTATCAACCAACTTACTTAAAGAAACAAGTTGTGTAACAGCTAAATACCTGCTTCATGCTATTAAAAAACAAACTTAAGTTTTATCTCCCTGTCTGTGTGCATGTGAGAAGACAGATACAAGGAATATATAATTTATACAAAAGAGGGTATGTTCTTTTGATGTGGTTGCTTAAACAGCATGACTTGATATAACCGTTGATTAAACAGTGCCAAGGAATAAAAGCTATTCTTAATGGTGTGGGATACTGCAAATCTTTTATCACCCCTCTTACCTTGTCCCCCTCCCCAAGGAAAGATGATGGATATCCCAGGCGCTAGACGAGTGGACATCGCAATGAAGAAGTATAGAGAATAAGGATAAACTCCCTCATTATCAGATTGCCATATGTACAAAGCAGTCACCCAAAGATTAACAGGAAAGGAAACGCAAAGAAGGAATTAATTAAATGCAAGTAATAAATGCGCGG